TTATAAATTTGTATATGTGGTCTATGTTTTCGGCTCGTTACAAGCGTCACCTTTTCAAGCACTGCCGATTCCACGAGCGGAATTACAGCAGCACCAATCCGGCATGGTCGCTCGCAGAATAAACGCTCGTCAATGCCAATCATTAAATGCGAATTAATGATCCGGCCATTGTGCGCGTTTATGCGTCATTCTATCCGTTCGAGCAACGATTAGTGGCGGATTACGAGGCACCGCGATGTCGGAGATAATACTCGCGCTCTATTGAATGTCCGCCACCGGCTAATTTAAATTCGAACCGCGAAAAAGGACTCTACCGTGCTATAGTCGAGCCAACAGGATTTGCGAGTGCAACCGGCACGACGGAGCCAATTTTCGATTTAATCCAACGATGTGTATTGCGCGATCTATCTATACCCGCGTTATTATTCAGATATCGACGCGGTATCTCGCTTGAATGCGAACTCGTTATGCTAAATTATATTTCGCGAAATGAATATCGCATTGTCATATGTCTGATAAACTGGGTTACTTCTGATCGGAAAAATGACGAATTTATCCGTGAAAAACGTTACATATCTGTTTCATTATGACTTTGGAATTTTTTATCGGCCATTGATCTCGTTCGCTTTGTTTTATTAAATTGATCATACTCGAGTTTTATAAATGAATCGATTTTCTGAATCTCTTTAAATATCTTATTAAGAAAAATAATTGTATGTCAGCCTATGATATATTATCCTGGTTGAATTTTATATTTATGATAATTTGAATTTCCCCAAAACACTCTAAGTTATAAGAGTTTGATCGATTGCAAATTTCAATCTCAAAAATCATCGTAAAACATTCGTGACAGAGAAGGATAACGACGTAGATTATTTTTGATGTAACAAAAAAATGCAAGCTAGTCTAACTCTCGAGCTCATCTCCTTTTCTCTTCCAATCTGTCTCGATTTATTATAGTGGCACGAAGATGATTTTCGAGAGCCGAGCTTTCTCGCGATGAACGCTCGAAGCTCGGAGAGATTTATCGCGGAACGTGGATGTTCCGTTAAGGATGCGGGCTAAAAATCGAACGTTGGTTGGATAGGCCTTCTCTCTCTCTCTTTCTCTCTCTCTCTCTTTTTCTCTTTCTCTCCGCTTGTACTGTTTCGAGCTTGTTGTACATTTGCGTATATACACAACACCGGTGACCGATGTAAGGAGAAGCCGGGGCAAACAGAGTGGCATTGACGACAGCGTGTTCTCATGAGCAACGGTATCGCCAGAGTCGAAAGAAAGGTTGCCTTGTCCTCTCTGCTTTCCTGTCGACGAGAAGAGAATCCATATACATCGTGTCCGTATACGCTAATCGTCATCAAGGATTTAGCCTCGGGATACGATACATACCGCACTTCTCTCATTGTCCTAATTTCCAGGCCCGATAATCGCGGTGCGCGAGCCTAATGCGTCGCCTCATTCATCAGCATCTACTTGTAATAAATATCCTCGGGTCAGAATTGTGCGTTTCTTTAACGATGTATTACGTCGACTGACCGAATATATATCATGGTCTCGTCAAAATTCGGCTAAGCATTCAATGAGCTAGATGAGCGAAGGAAGAAAAATTGCCCTAAAGGAGGCCATCGACGAAGGTTGACAGTGCCATCTATTTTCTGTGCGAATTAAGTCGCTGAGATATTTAATTCTTCGAAATGTAATCGTATTCATTCATTACGAAAGATTTATGTAAGTTTTTTGACGTAGTAGCTTATATTATAAATAAATAAATAATAATACTGAAACATTAATTCTATATATCAGTGACTTTGAATTGTGTTTTGTCTCATAATATCATAGTTAAATTTCTAATTACAAATTGTACTGAATTATTATAGTACTACTCTTGACTTGTTAAATAGTATATACAAGCACGCGAACTCTTAAAAGTTAAATTAATAGTTTGAGATATCCGTTAAACATTGCAGTACGTGTTTTGCTAATGGAAAACAACATTGTTTTGATAAATATCCACTGTTTACGTTTAAACTTAAGTGCATTTATAACTTTTAATTATAACTTTTATATAGAGTTAGAGAGTTATTAATATAGTTTCTTTTTATAATTTATAAAATTATTTCTTTTTATCTGCTTACAATTTTTTTATATACATCGAATTCAATGCCTACAATAGTAATTTTTTAAAATATTAATTATTATTTTGCTGAATTTGAGTTTTTTATTTGTCTATTACAGACCCTGATAATCTGATTGTGAAAGGAAAAGGAGAAGGAGGAAGTCTAGAAAATCCTTCTTTTCCTCTTCTTGAACATTATTATTTATATATTAACTATTATAAATTGCATTAATTTAATTCATTTATTTGAATGATTTAAACGAGAGATTCAAAGAAAAAGACGTTTACATAAATTCTATAAAAAAATCTATTTAAAGAGTAGTTTTTTAGAATTTATAATTACTAGAACGGACTTCGCACGCGCTATTTATTCTTTTGCATATTTATGTCCTAGTGATAATGAAAATGAATGTCATAAATGTAAACAATTTTCTATATTAATGCTAAGGTGCTATCAGATATACATTTACAGTTATAAACCGTCGATTTACTAGTCTATTTTTTAACCGCAGACTCGCGTTATCTACTATTAAAAAAACGAGAATCGCGCGCGCGCAGGAAAACTTTCCCACATTACTCATTGATATGAAACGCAACCGGAATAATCTACAGGGGATCGTTACGAGAAAAACGTTTCGTGTAGGAATAATTATAAGCAACTACATCGGGGAAAGTTTCTGCAGGAAGGGAGGGGGAGGGGGGAGTCTCAGTGAGCGGATGACGACGACCAACGATGCGAGTACGACGTACTCGGCGATCGTAAATCCTACCGGTTGTGTTAGCGATCCGCGTGAGTATGTACGCAAGTACGTACATTATGCGCAAAAGGGCCACAGTAAGTCACCTACCTTTAGGAAAGAAAGAGAGAGAGAGAGAGAGAAAGAAAGAAAGAGAGAAAGAGAGGTCCTCCTTTTCCTCCTTTTACCTGCAGTTAGGAAGCGAGAATAATATGCGCTCGACGAACGAGCAAAGCGACCGCACGTGAGGAGATTGAGAAAGAAGATGAGAGAGAGAGAAAGAAAGAATAAGAGGGGGCGGAGGAAGGAGTCACGTCGCGCGGAGGCCACAGGCTCATTGATCATTTCGATCACTTATGCTAATCTTGTCGGTGAAACTGGTTTGGATGCCATTCGAAGTAATTATTTCACACTTGCAAAGCGGCTGTTATTAGTAGCAAGAAGCTGCTGGGCGCAAAAATGCAGGAGACACGATCGCGAAGAAAAGGATGCAATAAGGTTTCAGGTGTGCACGGGTGTGCTTTTTCTGCACAGGTCTTCCCTTCCGTAACTAGAGATCGATCCTGCCGATATCTCGATCTCAAACGCGACGACTTTATGCAAAAACTGATTAACTCACTTATTACGTGCTTCTGCTCAACCAGTATCTTCATTAGAATGTTTTATGGCGAATAATTTTGTACGGTTATATCAAACTTTGACATCGTAGGCGGATCTTTAATGAGTAAGTTTTTTAAACAATAGATTTTTTTAGACATACTATTAGATAGACTATATGTATTCACAGACTATATATTTTTTACTGTATATTTTACTATATATTTTTCACAAAATAATATAACATATAAATCTGTGACAGGGTTAACAGATTAATCGGAAAGAAGGGAGGGGCTAATTTATTTTACGTTAATCTTATAAATGTACTGTCTAGATAATTGTGTCGAGCAACGTGTTTCTCCTTGATTAGAAAAAGAGTATTATCATTTCAAGTACTTAGAAAATAGCAACGGTTTCCGCGCCATTAGATTAGATAGGGTGGAGAATCAAGAATATATACACCGTCAATCAATCACTCTTATATCTCCCATAGGAAATGAAAGTGAGAGCTTTTTTCATTATTCTTTAATGTATAATATTGATCTAATATCATTGCCTTCTTGTTGTAGATGATAAATATCAATATAATTTTTCATGTCAATAAAGCAAAATGTTTATAAACACTTTGATCAATTTGCGAATAGTCTTTTTTAGCGAAACTTTCTAGGCTATACCTTCCTCAAGTCTGTAGCTAAATTAATCTTGTTCGAACGTACTGATTAACGAGATTCGTTGGTTTTTGTTCTCCAGTTAGTATCTCTTTAATCTCGTGTTTCTCTTCCAATCATAACGCCGAGAATGAGAAGAGAAAGGGTAAGAAAAAAATGTGCCGATCAACACCGTGGCCCACGGATGATTTAACGACTCCCTCGAAATTTCGATCGGATCGCAAGGAGGCAAGAGAAACGGTCGACGATGAAGAAGAAACGGAGAAGTTGAAAGATGAGAGTTTATAACGAGCAGTAGCGCACTCGTTGATTTACGGGTCGGTTCCTACGCATGAATCACGCATATTGGAATAAAGAAATAGGAGGAACCGTGTGGCCGATTCGAGGAACAGATATAATTTTCAGAAAACTCTCGGAGCTGTATAATTGCGCGATGCTATATCATAATTAACGCATGTCCAGAGATCAATCTCCGATCAATGAAAAATAATATTTTTAATGAAAATGTAATTTTTATCGTACAAATTAAATTATCTCACGTATTATACAGTATATTACAGTATATTACAGTATTATCAAGTATATTATATTGTACATATTTTAAGCCGAGGATTACAGTATACTTTAATTATGAATGAGATAAATAAATTGTAATTATTTAAATTACTGCAAAAACTTGTGTAGATCTGATAACGAACAAGCAATTTCAAGACAAATGATATGTGATGATATAGAATAATCTCCCTCTGCATTTATTTTACATTCTTCTAGAATGTAATTAAATTACCCATTTTTAATTATCTATATGTTGAAGTTATAAATATATATATGAAGTTATAAATATATATATAATGATTTTATATTATCTTCTTTTTTCTTTAACAGAAAAAGGCTTTTCTTCCAAGTCTCACGACAGACTGCAATTTTCCATGCCGACCCTGGAAGATAAAGCAGAAGCAGAAGCTCAAGGACCGTTCGAACAGCGTCGATGGTGCATTTCCACGGGACAAAGCTATCTTCGTGTCTATGCCCATATAGTACAAGGTATGTATTCGTATTTGTATACAATAGGGCATCATAATACGTAATCCGCCTAACGTATTCACGACTCGGAAACCTGAACATCTCCCACGTTAAAGGCGATACGCGCGTGTATCACCTCTCTTGCACTTGTTCGCACATTCTGCGAAGGTGTGTATAAAGCCGATGCGTCCCATCTCGTGAATCGCAAACGCATCACGTGTGCAAACGCATCCCGCTCACTGTAAATTCATAATACGCAGGCTCGTATAGCAGCTTTAATATGAACTAAAGCACAAACGAAAGAAAAGATCGCAACGGGCTGATTGCTCGGAGTCAATAAGATACGTTTCGTACAGGTGATATCGGGAAATAGAATGCAATCGCCTTTCCATATTAGCAAATATGTAATTTTGCAGTTAATAATAAAAAATAATTTAACATTTACTCATGAAAGAAAAGAGATACGCAATGGCAGAATTGTGATGGTTCAACATAAGATTGTAAAATATCCAAACATATCGAATATATCAAAATCTTAGAGAATAATGTCTAAAGTATAATTAATATTTCAAATAATAAATATTGCGCTCAATAAAATTTATATTTGTTTTAAATAAATATTTAATAAAAAAAATTACACAAATTATGAAAAATATATATAATTTGCTTCCAATATGAAGCTTTCTTTTTTTATACATATATATATGAAATAGTATAATTCTAAAGAATTGTGTATCTTAAACAATATTCAAATATTTTATATTATTTTTTATATAATATAAAAGTATCAAAAAATCATAAATATTTTATTAAATAATATAATATATAAAATCTGAAACATTATATATATATATATATATATATATATATATATTCTCATAATATATATAGTTATAGTTTTTAATATTTGCTATATATAGTTTGATAATTACAAATTCAAACTTTGCCTTTTGATCTCATATATTTTATCTCAATTTATTTCGTAATAACGAACATAGGAAATAGCATATATATGATAATAATTTGGTCGCATCGTATACGATATGTTCGGAATGTGTTGTATTAATATTGAACCATGTTTCTAACAAGATTCTGATATCCAAGCGCATCTCTGTGTCTCGTGTCAGATGCAACATAGAGTAAATGTACGAAAATATATCAGCGGTATGCTCGAGGCATGTTCTACAACGATCAAGTAATATGGTTACATATCGCACATTAAACGTTTATATTCTCGTTGCATGTATAATATAACACTTATATTTCGAGAGCATAATTTGTTCGCAACGTACTTCTATAACTTTTGAAATGTACGAAATTCTTAAAAAGTTATAATTATTAAACTTTATCATTAAACAAACTTCGATACGATATGAATCAAATTGAGTTTTTCCAAATTATCCAAGATGATAGTCAAAATCTAAAAATACGTTATCTGATAGGTCCACTATTTGAATTTCTATAGCGTTAGATTCCGCTAGTCGTTGAATGTTCTAGCTTGGATGTTTGCACGATACGAATGGAGCGGCTCGGAATAATATCATTGAAATGCGGCTTATAAATATTGCGAAACGTGAGTTGGCGAAGGGCCTGGACGAGCCCTTCGTATTCGTGGCTGATCCTGGCGCCGATGAACCGCGCTCGCCCCCTTTATTCTTCCTTTACGCTGCATTGGAAATACACCTTCGGCCGAATCACGAAATCCACGCTACGATGTCGTGTGTGCTGTTAGCATGATTCTCGCATTACCGCAGGAAAAATGTTAGTTTATTAAACGATAAATGTAGCAAGGAAACAGCGAGCTATCACAAGTACGCATAATATTTAAGCTTTCGAGTATGACGAGAGTAAAGTCAAAATTTAAAAAAATATAGACATATATTTATGCAAATTTGAGAAATTTCAGACAGTTGTTTCTGCGTTTGCTAAAGCAAAAAAATGCGATTCCTACTAAAATTGAATCATTAACTTCGTTATGAAGACGACTTTGAGGAGCGATGATTGTAAACGTGTAATTCCTAACGGGATTGATGCCTATCGTCGGCCGGTAATTATTATTATCACTCGTTTCACGGATGACCGTGCAAAAAATCGAAGTATTAATTTGTCGAGCAGCTTTGATGCTCTCCCTTCGTTTCTCGTCGACCGTAGGAATATCTGCCGGGTGCTCAGAGATCGGAAGCCAATTGGAAATCATATAACTACGTTAGCCATCCATTGGGTGTAGAATACTGCTGGTCCTGCAATTAAAGCGCGCTCGGTTTTAGATGCGTCGATGCGTTTCGATTAAAAGATAATCGATGTGTAAACGTTTAATTCAAGTTTGCCGATCGTAATTCAAGCGTGCTTCCGATAGCCTAATAAAGTATGATTGAGCAACTAGTTACTCGCGAATGCTATAAATTAATTTCTTAACGTGGCACGTATTCTTCGTGGAGAACGAAAGGACGATGCACCAAGCATTCGAATTTGTAAATTAAGTTATTCCCGCTAATCGGCTTCCGGACCGCGCGAGTATGATATATGTTCGATCGTAAAGTCGAAATTCATTTCACATTCTTATCCGACTTTCCCTTTAAACACCCTTCTATGTGTAAAGCACTCCGCTAGTTCGCCTTTTACGACTCTGTCGCGATGTGACAACGGGGTTAAGAGTCGAAGATGAACTTGAACGCGACTGGCTACCGCGCGTTAAGATGGACACGACTTGAGACGACTTTATGCTTGCGGTAAGCCGGTATTAGGTCTTAAGCTGGGATTAGTTCCTTCATGTGCGCCGAAAAGTCAAGGAGTTTCCAACGGCAATAATTCGTTTTGTACTCGAAAGCGATCTGGAAGCGATCAGAAATCCAATAATATCGCATTCGTCATGCGAATAAAATTTATCGATTCTACGGAAAAAATAAAACTATTCAAATATAATACGAAGATTATCATGAAAATATCTCTAGTATCGTCTTTAAGCTATGAAGAAATTTTTTTTATCTTGAGTAAGTTAAACACAATAAATTGCGCGTGTGTATTATTAATAATTATGTGAATATTTTTGTAATATTGATTGCTCGCATTTATACCTGACGATAATAATCAAATTAATAAATAAATTATATTAGACTGTCACTGTATCAAATTATAATTTTCCAATATTTAATATATCGAAACGATACGATGGTACTTTGAGATATCTTGATATATTTTGAGGATATCGGTAATTGTTGAAATTATAACGTGTCAGTATCCGCGCCTATATTCGTTCTCTTAAAATATTAAGAGAATAATCAATTTAAATTATTTTTGCATTATATAAATAATAAAATATTTGAATACTAATTTCACAAATGTGTGCTCTCTATTTTTCTCTCTCTTGTGGCTTACACATATAAACATCTATTTTTGCTGATATATTTTATCAACTCATTGCTCTGCATTTATTAAATGCTGCAAAAATGTTTATTGTACTAGTAATTAACATACTCATAAGCAATAACAGTTAAAGGTAATCGTGACTTAAATTCGAAAGCGAATCTCGACAATGATATACAAACTTTAACATCTTTTGCCCTGGAATCTGGAAATGGCACGTTTAAAAATCAACTCGTCTTTTCCGCGTCAGGTACAGCCATTAAAGTCGTTGTCACAGGGTATCAGTCACGCATTCTCTTCCTCTCGAGAACATTCGATGTATTAGTTTCCTTGGTCTCATAATTTCCTTACGATATTACCCTACGCCCACCATTTCCTCCGCTGCGATCAGGCGGTACTTATCTTCCTCATCCTCGTTTATTTTCTTTCGCTCCTCACCTGCCGTTGTCGCCCGTAATCGTCCGGCTTGGATGCCGATGGTGTCCATGTAGATTTCTATTTAACGGTGTGTCTGGAGTAAGAAAGGGATTTCTCGTGGATAGCCTTTTTATCGTATTGCAGCAAGAACGTCCTGTGTATATCTGTCCCGCGTTGTGTGTATATCCGTGCACATAGCGGTATATACACGTCGTTGAATGCACCGTGCAGATGCTTACCGGTTGAAGACCTTTCTTCTCGTCGGAGAGAACGATCTGCTAGGGATGGGTCAATGATCTCTGACATATGATGCCTATTTATGGGCGAATAAGCTAAGATCGATTCTCGTCGAAGATGTAGGATATGTTACGACGTCTCCACGTAACTACGGTGGCAACATTTTTATATCGAAAGTATGGTCTTTTTTATTTGACAATATTATAGCAAAAGATAGTCTCGCGCCAACTTTACGCGCAGAAAACTTCGGTGGCGGATCATATATCGTCTATATATCAATTGTACATAAATTTTGAGAAAACTAAAATATTTATGTGTTATTTCCTATTTCAATCATATTCATTTTCCTCAGCAATGATATCTACACTATCCTGGATAGATGATAAATGATCAAAAGTAAGCGATTCCCGTTACAACGAGTGAAAAGTATCAGATATATTCGAAGACGGTCTATTTTGAGGATCATTATTTCCGGATCGGTTTACCACTATTCATTAACGTCAAGCTTTCCAACCTGGGCTGACGCGTACAAACCGCTAAAGCCGCCAGTTGCGTGTTTACACGCGTAAAGGTATCCGCGGATAATTATTTTTCCTAGATGCTTCAACCCATCGTATTAATTATTTTACAGTGCCTGTAAAGCCAGTGATCTGAATCAAGTTCGGCATTATTACATCATAAATGTATGCGAACACGTCAAAATTAATTAATTACTAGAAAGAGATGATTATCTTTAACAGTTGTAATATAAATTTAATGACGTAAATAGAAAATGAAGTATGACTTAAATATGACAAATATTTATAAATATAGAAATAAACTATTTTAATAAATAACATTCTCAAGAGTTAAAAATATATATTATTAGATTAATAAATAATAATATAGAGAAGAATTCGTTTTAAACGTCTAAGAAAGGAACATGTTTGACATAATTCGAGCTATTTCTCTTTGAGCATGCCGATTTGAGAAAGAATACTGGCCATCACGAATCATTTCCCACC